ATAAGGTATATATATATATATATATATATATATATATATATGGTATCTCTTTTTAAATGATCCAGCCTAATATCTCGAAAACTAAATCCAGTAGACAAAGATGTTTCAGACGAAAGTGGTACGGTTTCGAGGAGGACGTAGGTCACATTTTCTTTTTCCAGGTGGAAGCGTCAAAAAGATATGAAGGTCACCTCCACATTTTTATATGGATTTATATGATTTCTTTTACATAATATGATTTCTGATTTATATAATATGACCCTATATATATAAATAATAATATAAAATTGGTAAATGACTCTTGATATAAACATAAACGACAAGTAAAGGGACGGTGTATTTTAGATCATGGATGATCTAAAAGAATACACCAATAACAGCGAGCGCTCACTCAACTGTTGAGTCCCCCGAGGCCGTATTCTGTAACTCGTTAAGCAGTTAACGACATCGTTGCGCAGCTTTTTATACCATAAGATATCTGCGCAACGATGTCGTTAACTGCCTTAACGAGTTACAGAATACAGGGGCCGGCACGGTGCGGCGAGACATATGAGCGACGATGCGCTTTCCCCTTGACTCTCTAACGCGCTGTCCATGTTTGAAAAAGTGGGCCGGGCTATATCTCAAGCGATCGGAGTGTTTCTCAAAACGCGCTCTCATTAGTACAATTTCAAAAATTAATATTTGTATTAATATTGCGAGAATAGCTAAACAGTATAAGACTTCTGTATTTATTTCGATCCTATCGACCTTCCTGTACGAAATTGGACACCCTGTATACAAGACTTTTTTTCTTAGTTTATCGATCCTCTACACGCTCTCGAAATTTTGACATTTAAATTCCGGACATCCTGTATATCAAACATATAGTGTTGAATTGAAAAAATCATGATTTTAGCTCTAGACACCATATTGGACAAATTAAGAAATAATAAAATTTTAATTTCAAAAATTTGTTCCGTTTTTAGTATAAACTCCACCTCATACACATGCATTAATACGTATACTTTAATTCTGAAAAAGAATTTTAAAATCTATAAAAAAAGAAAAATAAATAATTGATATACATATACACAAAAATAATTACATTTAGTCAGTAAAACAGACGATTTTAGGATTTTCGATTCGATTTAGGATTTGCCTTAATGAAAATCAAATAAGATCATCATTTTTTTGGCGCATACAAACATATTTTCAGATCAGATTATTGTCAAATATCACATTATTGTCAATAATACAAAACAAAAAAAAAATGTGTCACAGGATCGCAAACGAGAGGTTTCAAGATTTACTGAAAAAATACACAGAACACGAATACGCATCTCCGTAGGGAAACACATTTATGAGTTTCTGGCTAATCTCTTTGGATAATTTCAATATTAGTACTCGCAATACGTTGAAAATATTAGTGTTTTGATCAGAAGAAAAAAATATTTATTTTGTGATTCGCAATAAATAAACCCAGACGAAAATGCGTCTTCGACTGTTCATGAGAGCAAAATGTCCTTTTCACGTAATCTTATTTTCACGTACATACATATGTATATATGTATATATACATATATATGCATGTATACACACATGTATACACATATACGTATAAATATATTCAATAACATTACTCCCTATATACACATTTATATTGCAATAAAACAGTGTATGTGTTTCTCTCATGCGCACGATATTACAACGCATTTTCTGAAATGTAGCGTAAAGAAATTAAGTGACTCTTACACGATCAATATTATCGTATATCTCGATATAGTGTAATAACATTAATAGTTTATATAATCATTCATATAATGTCTATATTGATATCAGAGAGAAATCCAAGAGAGAACATGAAGGTCTTTTACCTGTAACCGCAAAATGCCTTGTGCACTACCGCCCCCGAAGGACTGGATGTCAACTACACAACAATATTCACCTTTTTACATACACCTGATAGAAATAAATCACTGAAATCGTTAAAATCTTTATTAATTGATAGATTTTAGTTGTTTCAGCAATTTATTTCCATCAGGAGAGACGTAAAAAAAATGGATATTGTTGTGTAATTTACATACACTTCTTCAGAGGGCAGTAGTGCGCGGCAGCATTTTGCGGTTACAGGAAAAAAGTTCTCATTCAAGTCCTTTCTTAGATTTTTCTATTTATATTGTATTGAAATCAATACATCTATATACAGGATTGGCAATGTTACCTCTCATAAAAACAGCGTTACCGTTACCGTTCATTTTCCTAAAAAGTAACTTATTACCATTACTGTCATTCAAAATGTAAAGCCATGTATATACACCTAGCGAACGAACACCGAAAGAACAAAGAACGCAAAAGTTTATATATTGTTATTTGTTACATAGAAATTGCACAATCAAGAATGAAGAAAGACATGGCAATAACCCGCAAACCTTCTGGTATAATTAAAGAAGTTGCACAAGTTTAAGTGCTATGTGCAAACGAATATCGAATCTAATCGAATGCTAGTATTTGGTGCAGTTAAGAGAAAAAGAATAAACTGCTCACAAACGCTAATACAAAAGTCATCTTACAATCATTAGTTTATAAAGTAACGCAATCGTCATATCGAGCCTAATTAGCGATAATTTCAAACTGATGTACTAGGATGAATTTATTGTGTGAATGACGGAAAGCATTGCTATGTTAATCAGTCGTATTTATTTATTTATAACGATAAACATTGCTTAGAAACTTTTATCGCGATACTTCTGTTACTTTTACTAATACTTGCTTGTAAAATATAATCTTATTGTATTATCAAGCATTTATGCTCAAAAAAGTTAAA